ATGACACTCTCTCGTAAATTTTCTTCTCATTTGTTAAGAGTCAACCGTGTACGTTTGTCCAAATTTATCAGCGAGAAACCATTTTTTCTCAATTCACTAAACAATAATATTAGGCCCCTGAAATCGATGGGATTAAAACATCAAGATGCTATAACAAAAATAGCGAAATTAGTTAACTTTATTTCCTTCGGATACTTGTTTCAGCAATCTGCCCTAGATTTAAAGATTCTTTTATCATACGATTCATTCATTCGTAAGACTCGGAGATTTCGCGGTTTCAGAAGTGAACAACTTTGAATTCAGTTAATAATTGAGTTATGGTCTCCTGGCGACATCGTGGAAGTTGAAGCAAAGTTACCAACAAGTAAGTACACTAATTTGTTGCAAAATGAATATTATCCGTTAGCTATTTCGTTGTACATAGGCAATCGCTGCCGTTCCTGTATTAATATTCAAAGGTGCTTCCTTCCATATCTACACCTCTTCGGATACGTCCCCGTTTGTTTGCGAACTTGGCCATTCCTGTACCACTGCATAACAATAACCGATCGGAATAAATATTCCAGTGCAATACCCATTTAATGTCTGACACTTTCAGCTGTGAGCAGCATTTGGACAGATGAGCTCTCTGTAGAGATACACGAGTGTCATGTTCACGTTGGATTATGTACAATGGACCATCACGTCCGATTGGGGGTACTCTGAGATCAATAAGGGTAATCGAAGCGGCCAGGCATCTTTATATTCAAACCGAGTACGTTCGGACGTATTAATTGAATTTAATGATTTGGATAATTTAGGATCAATTTTCCTTCCCTTGGAAATGAAGAATGTAATGCGCTTTGTGACGCCGGATAGCTATAACTCCTGAGCCGTGCGTTCAACATCGAGTTTCTCTAGAGACTCCTCCACCTCAGACGACCTATAATGGACCGTTAGCTTAGATGTAGAGGTTTACGCTTCGTACTTTGATGCACATTGACCGTTATATGCTTCGTATAATTAACAGCAGGACGTGTCGTTCCTGACATAAAACTCGGCCGCTTGACCAAGTTTGCTCGATGATTAAATTATTATGTGAAATCCTGATATTCCCTCGGCTCGTTACGCAAGTTGCGAGCATCCTATCTCCATTAAAGTTACTTCGTTATACAGCCGGTGTGAGAGAAAAATAGACGAATATCCCGTAATGATGAAAAACGACAGCGGCTAGATCGAGAATTAAATCATCCACAAACTCGGTGGAGCTTCGGCGTCGAGCACGTTTTGTTAAATTCTAAAGCCTTCGATGTCATGTATCTGGGTGTATACTATTAAAAATGATCGGTGTCCCCGAATGAACATTGAAGATACTGGAAAAATTGTCCAACGTCGATTGGTGGATATTCGTTCGGCGGACATTCGATTTTGATCTTTGTTCCCGATATCAACGTAAGGATGTGTGATACTATTAGGTGCATCTATGAGATAATCATTGTTCTTTATTTACTCGTTTATACGATTAAAGGGAACACTTTTTTAATTAGGTCGATAACGAGCGATGTTTATTTTTCGATAAGCTCGTGAATAAGTCTCATTTAGAAGACGTAGTAAAATAGATTTTTATTAGATTCATGACATCAACTTGGAGGCCAGCACTGTCAATATAGTACTACATTAAATGATATTCTTGGAAGCCGTAAATAATTGGAGCTGTCCTTCTATACGACCCATAAAGAACCTACGCCGTTAAGTACCATATAAAGTGTAGAACGATCAGCATCCAACCGCGAATCTTCCTTTAACTTTCCTTCCACTCGAAGTAATTCACAGTGGGTACTACATTTTCTCATGGAACTAAAAGTACTTCAAAGCATTACATTTACACGCAGAACGAGGATTTGCAATGCTTGAGATTAATAGCGTGATAAGAACTCCACCTTTTCTTTACTAGCAACGAGTGGACGAATTTTTTCTCCCTGATACAGGTACATTTCAGTTGGTCTTATAATTACTTTCAACTAATAACAGTAACTATTCTAGAAATGTAAGAAATTATTTCTGTTAAACTGAACTTGCTCTGTATATGTGTTAAGTAGAAGGGCACAGATATCTAAAGGTACTGTAATTTTTACGTATTTACAAGAATTTACTGTGTCGAATACACATTTTAAACGACTGGTTTGGACATCAAAGGCTGAACTTCCGAAAGGATTGAACGTTGTAAAAAGAGGGATTACGGCTTGCAATCTGTCAAGCGAGCAGTTTGCAAAACCAGAAATCGTCGACGTTGTGGTTCGGTAAAATTTCAAAGCATCCCCTGTCAAGCTCTTTGCGCTGCTTTACTCCGATTGACAGAAATATGGAAATACAGAGGAAATGTAACTTTTCCCTCGAAATAATCGTTCAGCGTTACCGACACAAGAAAGGAGCTTTCAGGAAGAATGTCTAGTCCCGAATATGCTGTTCCACTCTCTGAGAAAACTTACTTCCATCGTACCACCTTTCTCCTGGATTTGAGTGTAAAGTTTAGCAGAATCTCTACTTTCATTTCTCTTTATGCTTTTTCACGTACGAAGGCCTCGCAAAATTTTATTCGCGCGTTAGAAACTTGTCAAGTGTTTCTTTCTTCTATTATATGGTCCAGTGCCTTTATCGGTCATTTATTCAAGAGACAAGATAAGTAAACGGTGCGGATATAATTTATACTTGTCAGAATAGTCCAAGGTGTATTTAATTTTTTTAATTGCAACACGAATTTTTGACGATTATTTAATTATAAAAGATCAATCTTTTATTCTCAATGCGCTGAATTAATTGGGACAATAGTTTTTTAAAGAAACTTATTTTGATAACGACTTCATTAACACACAGTAGTACGTGATAATGAACCCTATACTTTTCACAGAACTTTCTCAATTTGAAAAATAATTAAGTAATAAAATTGTGAAAAATATTTACGTATTATGGTTAATCTGGAATGAAATAAAAGATTAATTGACTTCATTTGCTTAGATTGCGTATTACCTGAACTCGGTATGCTAATGCTCATGAATATTTTAGGCCTGAAAAGATTAGGGGAACAATTAGGGATTCTAATTTCCGTAAGTGAACTTAGGGGAATCTTCGGAAATGTTTCATTATTTATGAACCAAATTTTCAACGTTACCATCACCCACATATGCGACTCCTGAATACAATTACTTGTCGGCAAATTCATCATCGTGTCCTACTATTAATTGCGTTAATAAAATATGAGAAAAGTATCCGTCTTATAAAAGTTTGCCCGATAAATGAAGAACTTCGTTTTGTCAAAAATATATTATTAGCATCCCCTCTTCGCGACTTTACTCGCGATACAATTTATTGCAACTTATTGATCAAACATCATAACTTCACTAGTGACAGAGACTCAACTCGTCATCGCCACCAAGCGTATACGCTGCTATTTACAAAACCAGTGTTTGTACAATTAATGATACCAGAAATAATAAGCAAGAAACTTTTAATCTGAAAATTCAACCAGACTTGAGTAATCAGAATTTTCTAGTTGTGCCGATCAGATTTTCTCATCAATCATAACGAGAATTCTTTTAATCAGGCGCATCTAATCATCTTAATCTGAACTTTTTTTGAGTATGCAGCAGTATACCGATTGCAGAGCTCGAAAATTCGTCCTAAAGCCCAAACCGAATAGAATTAAAGGGCAGGCCGCGTTTTAATTTCAGTAAAAAGCTAAATAAGTCGGACGCTTTTGTTCGACGTAAAAGTGCCTCTAGCAGAACTTCGCTAATTGGATGTCGAAGACTCGGCAGGCCATCTTCCTACTCTTCCGCTCTCTCTTTCTTGTCGATAATATAAATTCCTGCTGATATCTCTCCCGAACCTCATTGTCGATCCAAGGAAAATGGATCGAGAGATCAGGTCACGAGACACGAATTCTTCTCTTCGACTCCGTCCCTTCTCTCTTTTCATTTATTTCTTTTTCCTCCACGTTGGTTTCAATAATGCTTCCAATGTAGCACTTAACCAGCTGTTAATATTTAAGCTATCCCTATTATACTAGTATATTATGACGATCCAATATATAAGTTTGAATATTTTTTCTTAAAGCAACCTTTTATATTAAGAGATCATACGAGAAGTTATCACCTTCAATAGAGATTTTTAAATAGAAAGGCGAGAATTGGGATAAAATGATAGAAATGTATCAATATTCCCTCGTCAATTCAATTTCAACATTTTTATACGTTTTTCCACAAGGATAACATTATTATATAATTTTCAGCCCCCAATTTAAGGCATCTCTTTTACCGTGGTATCGTTACCGTAATCATGTTACGTAAAGGTTTATCGAAATCCGTATCGCTGTACTTTGTAGTAATCGTATAAAATATACCGACTCATGCATTGCGTGTATTTTCTGCTCATGGAAATATTGAGTTTTATGTTCGAACACGTACGTGGTAACGTCATGCTGTAACCGAGCGGTGATTCGAAATTCTAATACGTATTCGTTTGTTTTTACTCTATGAACGCTGAGCGAGAACTCGTAAAACTCGGGGAATGTAATTTTCTCGTTCGAAGCATTGTAGTTAAAATATGGTTTATTCGGCAAGGGCAGAATATTCAATAGGCTCGTATCAATACAGAGAATACGGGACGAGCGATAAAGGTATATTCAACGACGTGGATTGGGAAACAGTCCTATTCCGAACCGGAGTTTATAAATTATTGTCGCACGGTCCAGATTGTATTTTAAATAATAATTACATTCCGACCATGAAGTTCTACCTCGGTGTCGATTTGCACCTTTGCATTTAGGGTTGCTGATCGCGGTCACGGGTGTGCTACCCTCCTCGTAGCGAAATACGACAGGAGGCGAAAGAAAAATGTGCACTCAGCAAGAAATATGTGGTCGAAAAGCTGAAACCCGACCTTGCGACTGATCCGAGAACGATGGTGATTCGGTAATCTCGAGAGTAGCAGAGAGAGCTTTCAAGTGCTTGGAAGGAACTTACCGATGTCCATGAGGTGGTGCTTCCCAAGTTGTCGGACTGCATGGACATGAAGGAGGCCAAAAGCGAGCTGCATCCCAGTGGTAAGCAACAGGGCAAGGAAGCCCGCCGCGCAGACCAGCCAACCCCATCCGCCTTCGGGGTAGAAGTGCGTCCTCATGCTCGCAACGTCTATCCCTGCCACCCACACCAGAAATGTCAAAACCCCGCGGAATAAATTCTTAAAGGGGTCCGACCACCTGCCCCAGCACGTCTGTCGTTGCTCTCATGGACCAAATGGAAATCTTTACGAGCTTAAGTAGGCATCGGGTTCCCAAATGATTCGCGTCTCTAAAACTAGGTGGAATTCCATAGCAGCACTTCAAGATAGTGGAGTGATATTTGTCAAATTATTTCTCTTCGATAGCTGATATTATTCCATCCGGTCGCAAAAAATGTACCGAGGAATTGTAAATAAATATGTGAGAGAAATATTAAAAAATTTCTTTAGATTTGAAACTTTTTTGCCCGCTGACTTATATCTTATTTTAATTATGTAGATTCTGAAATCAGTGAATATTAGACCGCAACAAATTTCTCATTTTCAATAGGCATTTTTCGTTTGCGAAAAGAGAGTGTTACGTATTTGAGGAAATTTTAATGAGTTCCAGACTGGTCGCGACGGTCGAAGAGGTGAACGAACAGCGTTTTTCTGTCGGTTTGTATCCATCGGTCTTCTTCAGTCGGTTTTGGGATAAAAATGTTCCGTTACACGTGTGAGGGTGATTTCTCTTAGATAAAATTGTTAATGTTAAAATGTTTGTAACCTTGCACATTTAAGTCTCAAACGAAACACAAGTGGTAACACTTGTAAAATATCTTTATTCAAATATTTCGAAATTGCATCACCATTGCTATCGATTCAATGTAGTTATAATATGACCGTAATTATTATTCATTTGAACATTTGACCAGAAAAATATACAGAATGGATAAATATTAATGATGTTAATAAATAATGTACCCGTTTCTGAAATCAAAAGACTCAAAGCACCGATAGGCTTCCTACCTGAAACGAAAATTATTTTGCGTGAAATTCCATTGAAAATCTCACACTTTTGTTGGTCCGTGATAGCCCTTTGGTCACATTTTATTCTTCGTATGAGAGACGTCAATTTCAATAGCTGAAAATCGTTAACGAGGAGCGTTTCCGGAATTCGGGGAGCCGAAATCTGGCACGCGTGAAGGAACGCACGTGCGAACGTATGTGCGACGTATGTACATACGTGCATATTCTCCGTAAATCGATAACTCGGCCTCGGGGCTTTGGAGAGCAGAAAGGTGAAAAAAGTGCTAATTCAATAGAGCTATCGACGGCGGTGAGTGCGATAATAGCTACAAATTCCGTAAAAACTGCCCCGATAAAGCAAGGCTCACGGGGGGTAACGCGAAAAGAATTCACCGTACGGCTGCTCTCGAGTTCCCGTTCTTCCTTTTTCCTGAATTCCGGAAATTGAAAGAGGCCAGCTTTCCTAGAGGCTTTTCTCATTGGCGCGAGGAGCTCCTCGCTTATGAATTATTGTTACCCTTACGCCTGAGATGCTTCTCTGCTTCGAGAGAAAACTCTGGGGTCTTCGGTTCCCTTTTTCTTCCTTTTCTTTTTTTTATCTGAAATACGGCACAATCACGACTGCTCCGCGCTATTTCTTCCGGCTCTCTCTCTGCATCATGGGTTCATAGCGCATATTTACCACGGCAAAAAGTTAACGCGAGGATCGACAAGAGATGGAATGAAACAAAAATTAGCATAGAACGGCAATTCTTTTCATCGGGGTAACTATTCAAAGCCTTGAGAAGATTTCTTTGTGAAGCTTGCAATAGCTTTTTGCGTGTCTACTTTCAATGGGAAGTATTCTAATTAAAAGCTGTACTAATGAGTGCTCTTATCCTACGTGAGCAGATGTTTAACTTTCTGTTTACAAGAAAAAAATTGTCTTTATGGTTATAGATTTATTGGACCTTTACACCCTGAAAAAGAACCTGCAATAGTTTTCCAGAGGGAAACCAGAAACGGACACCCGTGTCAGAAAAGCAAACTCGAATCAACTGTTGAGGTAAAAATCTTTCTAAATAGGTTTATATATGTGTTAAATACATATATTTATATACATCTTCTGCTGCCTAAGAGTGAGGTTGATATCAGTGTATTTTTACATGCATTTTGAGAAACTTTTTTGTAAAAGTAGTTTCATGTTTTACCTGGTCGACGTAGAGCCGGTACGCAACGATGGAGACTCCTAAGATCTCCCAGGACCCAATTTGTATTTCCAGCTATACTTTCATCCATATCCACATATCGAACTCGAGGATCTGAAACATAATTTCAATACAAACACATCATTTCAGTGTGGAATAGAACTTCACAATTTATGCATTTTATAGAATTCTGCATTTCGAACCTCTGAATAACGGAATGCACCGAGATGGAAATTGTGGAATAACCATGGAGTCTTTTAAAAACATCAAATACGGTTACGTTTAATTTGCTCAAAACCCAATAATAAACGTACTATACAATGAAATTCTCTCAAAACACGTTCGGTGTACAAAAATTTACCCAAATACATTTATCTTTATGTAGGATCAAATTTCAAGTGTCAGGATTAACATGAACGGTTGATTTATTAATAAAAAATTAATATAAAGAAATTGAATACATTGAAGAGTATGTCTTAAAGATCTCAGAAAAAGGGACTTGATTTTCCCTCCGACTTCGCTCGAGGTCTCCTCAGTTAGAACTAACTCTCATTCGATCATTCTCATCCAGCCTCACTCTAATTTCTTTCTCACTCAATTCATATTCCTCACTCTCTCATTCCCACCCTCATCAATACATTTCTTTGTGCGTCAAAATTCTCACTCACTGAGTCATACGGCCGCTCGCACATCACGAACTCCCAACCACGCATAAACAGTATCACCTATCGAGCTGTCATTTAATCTAAATACTTCTCACTTCACCTCACAATCATACAAACATTACATTTCACTCTAACTTCTATTTAATCTTATTCTTAATCTTTATTGCCTTATTGGCGACACAACTGTTCGTATAGCTAAACGCGTTCATCTTTTTTTTTTATTCTATTAACTATATTGGACCGCACAGGGCCCTGACACTACATTTATTCAGATAATTGTAAAAATAGCTCAACTTGGTCCCTTCCCATGAAAAGCTCGAATCATCTATTTTTGCCAAATACAGTAGAATATTCATTCCATTAGTTTCAGCTAAAATCTTTTTGCCAAATGTCACCGTACATTTGGTTCACATATGTTGTATGTACAAGATTTTCTGCTTCTTCAAACCGAAGACAAATATTAAAAACTATATCGAAACAAATAAAAAAATTAGAAATTAAATTTGAAAACAATATTTTATTTGGCGAGCACCCGAGGTATACTGCTAGCATATGATCATTTTGGTGCTCGCCAAATAAAATATTGTTTTCAAATTTAGTTTCTAATTTTTTTATTTGTTTCGATATAGTTTTTAATATTTGTCTTCCATTTCAGGCCGCAGAAAATCTTGTATATACAACATACGGGAAATCACATGTTCAGTGACATTTGGCAAAAAAGATTTTAGCTGAAACTGTAATGGAATGAATGTTTTATTATATTTAGCAAAAACAGATGATTTGAGCTATTTTTGCAATTATTTGAATAAAGATAAATGTATTTAGTTAAATATTTGTACACTGAAGGTGTTTTGAGAGGACTTTACTTCTTTTTTTTAAAAGAAAAATGTTAATGTCTCTATTACTAATAATAAAATCAGCAAATGTAACTGATACCTTCTTGTAATATTAAAATATAATTACTACAAACATATAATTTGATAAAAAGTTACTAAAAATATGTATATTTCGTACACGCAGTATATATAAATATATTTTTTTTATATTAACACCCTCAACATTTTGAATGGCAGCATAATTTATCTGCCAATGTACATTTTGAAATTCTAATATCAAATTTGGATTTAGCGACCACAAAAACCCTGAGAAACCCATTTTTATAAAAATCCAACCATTTTTACATTTTTATCCGCCATATTGAATCTACCATTAAGCATTTTAAAATGTTGTGTACATATTTGAAAGCAATGACCCTAAAGATCTGGAGAAATCATTCTTTCGAACCAAATTTGAACCGTTTAAAATTTGTTTAGCCACCATTTTGCGTTTTAATCTTTTGTTGCCAGATTTGGATTCAGCGATCTCAAAAATTTAATAACCTCTTTTTTTCGTATAAAAATGCTACCATTTTGTAATTTCCTGTTCGCCATTTTGAATTTCGGAATTTTCCTGCTAGATTTGGATTCAGCGGGCACGACTACCATGAGAAACTCATTTTTATAATAATCCAACCATTTTTACATTTTTATCCGCCACATTGGATCAGCCATCTTGAATATCAAAATTCTATTACCAGATTTGGATTAAGCGGTTATAAAAACCACGCTAAACCGTGTTTTATAATAATCCAATCATTTTGAAATTATATTATTCGCCATATTAGGTCTGCCATTTAAATTTTGAAATTATATTATTTGACTTGGCTTCAGCGATCTCAAAAACATCAAGAAACCTTTTTTCTATCAAAATTCAATCATTTTAAAGCTGGGATGGGTATAGTTCCTTTTCGTTCCGCGCGAGGCGCTGTCGCTGTCCAAAAACCATATGACAGTCCACCTATCATGTGAGTGTGAAAATGATAGTCCGTGACTGGAGGGACGTTGATGACGATATGAGAACAACGGTTCTGAGAGTGCCGAAAACTTTACCGTCCCACATCTTTATGTAGATAGCAGCAATCAGAGTCGGGTAAATTTAAAAAAATTCCTGACTTGTTGCTTGACTTGTTTAGTTGATCAGACGTTCATTTCTTTTTCTATAACAACGAAGAGAGTAGATTCCCATTTCCCCCACTCCTGAAATCTCGACCCTTGGCGTATAGAACTCTGTAGCGTCTCGCTTGAGCTCAAGCGCGCAAGGCGCATTTCTCTCAGCACGTGACGTTGTGAGTTTCTCGCTCAAAAATGTATTTGGCTCGAAACTCTGCCGCATTTCTTGATCATTTCTTTGATCACGATGATATATTGTGATTTAATTGGAAGAGTGGATACAGGGGCTTTGCATACCCTTTTTAGTTTTGCCTCAGTTGTTAAATGGAATCTTGTACTTGACGCTTCAGTTAATGGAAAGCACTTTAATGTTTCCGCTAGGCATTCTTCGTAAAAGGCGGAGTAAATTTGCCAAGTAAAACTGTCTCGGTCGTAACACTTGTGAGAAAAGGTTCTTAGCAAAACCATTACGGCTTGTATAAAATACGTTTAACAAAAAATACGTTATTAAATGCAATTGTAATTTACGATGTACGCACTTTATATGCATCAATTAAAACTCAATACCTGCAGATGGCACCTTTCATTAGTACCTATATTAAGGGAATCGATGTTGCATATAGCAATGTTAATAAGAATGATGTTTAATGTTTGTGATAATTCGGAATTGAGTTTAGAGATACACTACATTTTCCATTCACTTTCAATTGCATTTGACCATTATGAACGACATTGTGCAATTTGTAAACTCCGCGTAAAATACCTCACATAAGGATTTCAGGAGTACAAAATGAAAGTACCAAGTTTCCAATATTAATGTATTTTTCTTGTGAGTTGTTATTAAAATCGAATTATACAAAACTGTTGAGGAATCGTGCAAATGAAAGTATTGAGGTAATATTTTTGACGATGCGTCGTTATAAATGTACAGCTACTGAGATTGGAAGTGAAGAAAGTGCGCAATTCGTTATTTCCATCACATGGGATAAAGTTTGACGACTCAATGGGTTTCTCTCTCGAATAGAGTTCCAGAGGAGTTCAATACAAAGTTCAAACGAGACCCGTGCGTAAAGAGAAAACTTGGCTGACTCGGAAATACCTCGTGCAAAGAGCTAGTAGTAAAAGTTTCGCTGTTGGTCAGCCAGTTTGTGTAAGTAATCGAATGTGGACCAAAGTTGGACAATTTGCCTGCCAAATGACGGAACAATTATAAACTTTTAATTCTTGCACTTTGTTGCCTCATTAATTAGATTAAATAGGTACAACCATATTTATATAAACAGTCCATCCGTCCTCTATATTTAATGACATTTCTACCAACAAGCCATCGCTTTCAATAATTACATAATATTCCAAGCGAGTTGTCATACATTTCTAATAGGGACGCAATATTGCTATTTGCCAATACCACGCTTATGCATAAACGATAATATTGCTTAATTTTATCAGGCGTAAATTAGCATCTTCCCTTTGATCTCTCCGACTCAAAGTTTTAACAATATCAATATTACTGAACGTGGATGAAGGAGAACGAATAAGTCTCGAGTACACTATGTTTGAAAATATGGATACCTTATAAAAATGTATCTATACATACTAGATTCCTTATTTCAAATTAATTAAGGAAATTGGAGGATCTACGGAGATTCTCGGAAAAAGAATCCCCTTTCTGTGGGATTCATTTTACAAGTGGAGTAGGTCGGGCAAATTGTGGCAGGTCCAGGCAGAAGACAAAGGCGTTGAAAAGCTGACAAGGTTCCTCCAAAAACGTCTTTCAAATATCTATACCAAATCACGTCAGATTTTTGCAGACAGGGTCATTGAACGCCGAAAGGTAGGGTTTCGTCTGTAACGCGGCTATTAGACATTTGTCTTGACAGTGATAGGTGAATCTCGGCTTAAACTGTTCATTTCTGCTAATAGTGAATAATTTTTAATATGGGCAACTAAAGTGCGTGCAGCAATTAGGTATCGTGAGAGAGTATGGCTTGTTATTAATATTATTTGCAACCTTAAAATGATTAAAAATCATTTTTATTTATATCAATACCAGATTATACTAATAACTCATAATCCTTTACCGATGCCAAATAGGCTTAACATCGACAGCTTTAGTTTGGTTCTTAATTAATATCGTCCATTTAAACTGAAACTTTTCTTAAATTTCTCTTAGTGTAAAGTAAAATTAACATTTTTTTTTTTTTAGAATAACCTATTTACAACCTATTTTGACTCGCAGAATCATGACGGGGATGGTACTCCGATAATTGCGCTCCGATTGGTCGCGAGTCATCCTATGGTTATCTAAATAGAACATATTAGTAGGATTCAATGTAGTGTCAGTGTCCTGTGCGATCCAATAAAGTTAATAGAATAGAAAAAAATAAAAGCGTTTAGCTATACGAATAGTTGTGTCGCCAATAAGGCAATAAAGATTAAGAATTAGACTAAATAGAAGTTA